TGTCAGTGGGAACCAAGCGAAAGAAAGTAGAAACAATGTGGGAACGACATTTCAAAAATAAACGATATGAACCTTTTCTTACCTTTGATTTGTCACGCTTCTTTTGCTGACATGTTTGGTATCACGAACGTGGTCGCCATTTCTGTGTTTTGTAGCCCCTGTAGACACCTTTTTCGACTCAAATACTTCAAAGAGGAGAGAGAAAAGAAATCCTCTAACCAAGAAATACTAAAGGTATCACTTTTGGTCAGGTTTGCCATCAAAATCGACCTCCATGTTTGCCCGCCAAGCCGCCATGTTGGATTTGTTTATCATTACCCAGACCTCCTTCGGAGGTATATTATTTATGCAAAAATCCCTAACATTGCCCAGTTGGAGCACGTGCCTCTTTTTAAACGGTGGAATGCATGCGATCAATGACTTCTCGGGAATAGATGGGTTTTCCGCTTCATTTTCCACTGCAGTGATGAGTGACTTCAATACATTACACAGCTCAAGTTCGTTAGCTGCAAAGAGAGGTAGATTTCGACCAAGATTTGGAGACATTTTATTTTGCATTTGTACCCTTACGTATTGACCTTTGCTTTCATTTTGTTCATTCCCATTGTTATCTGGGCTCCCTCTTCAGGTCTCCAGTTCCTTCTTAGCGTTGATTCTTAAATTCCTGTTTCTTGTACAAAGAAAGGTCCCGTTTTGGATCTGCCAATTGACCCAGTCTCCTTTTTTCCAATTCTTGTTTGACATTACGACCATTTCAGAGTTACTTTCAGAAGAGAAAAACAAGTCATTTGATTTCTAATCCCATCCCCTAATCGTCGAACTGACATTTTACTCCTGAATTTGTGACGGGATAGGAAACGAATTTGCGCCCCGCGAAAAGAGGCCAGAGAAAACATTTTTGAAGAGGTCCTTTTAGGATTTTAGATTCGCGAACAAAAATTACTCACTCCAATGGCTAAACACCAAACTTATTTAACCTAACTTTTTTTTTATTGAAATAACGTTAGATTTTGTATCTAGAAACTTTCAGCTCTCGTGGTAGTATGGCTGGTTTGATTTGTTTAAGGAGGTTAAGTTGTAGGCGTTCGGTGACAACGCGGGCTGCCTGCGAGCAAGGCATCTGATAACAAACAAAAGTGCCTCGCATAGCGTTTGCGCATGCTCCAGCAACCTACGCCATTTTGATTTCTCTAATATTATGTAAAGCCGGCAGTACAAATGGCGATTTTAATGGCCGGTCGCGCCGAAATTGATCGCCACAATCGGCGATTTTACACCCCGATCGGAAAAAATCGCATTCGCCGTACCGGGCCACACCTGGCGATATTTGCCGATCGGCGCATAAAATCGCCAGGTGTATCGCCGGCTTAGGACACTATGGTTCTAAAAGAAGCTATATATTGACGATACAAGGCATTGTGAAAAATCATCCGCATTTTAATGAATTCTTATTACTATCTACGTCTACAATCTATAAATCAACTAAAGCCGATAATCTATTCGAAAATTACCACAGAAATGTCTCTTATATCAAATTAATATGCATAAAAATATATTACATCTCTTTGCCTTCATTTTCTTATCGCTACAGATAGTGTCTTGTACGAGAAAACAAAATGATCTGCACGCCGCAAATGAGGACTTAAGTTGGCGCGTAGAGTTAAAATCTTAATAAGGTGGCTCAAAATGGTTCAATGACTCCAAACACGATTCTTTGATGCATCGATGCTACACACTTTTATGGTTGCTTCCTTCAAAAATTTGTCAAAATTTGTTTGATTATTCCTCACTGTTGTGATCACTGTTATTCTTATGACCTACAACGTGGCGAAAGTACTGCCACTAAGCGATGCACTTGATTCTGGAATTGTCAGCCAGTAACTCAAGAACGAGTTCCCTGCCTCCCCTTTTCTTATCGTTAAATTGCAATCAGGAAAGTAAGATTCATCCTTCTGTAGGTCTTAAAACACCTCGCGGAAATCTGAAAGCCACCTTATTTTCCACTACTTGGGGTTTCTTTGAGCCGATAATAAATATTTCTTGAGTCACCTTAAAGAACAACGTCAATATAAGCTGTGTTACTGAAACCATTAAAGGAAGTTACTTTAAATATCATATAAACCCCGAAAAAAAAACGTTTGATAAGGAAAACAAATCTCACCGAAGTAACAACACAACAAAAGAGAACCAGAATGGATAAAGATGGCGCAGATTAAACCGCTATGTGATTGGGTGTCGTTAAACAACAGCGAATCAGAGGAAAGGAATATAGCACGAGCAGCCAATAATAACTCAAAGTAACAATAGCCTTACTAATTGAAGCGGGGGAAAACGCAGGTGACCCAATCGCAATTGATTTTAGCTTTCCTCATCTGATTGGTTTAGAAAAGGGGACGCGTTTTATGGACCAATCACGCAATGAAGTAGAGAAAAACCAAACCAATCCCAGATTCCTTTTTACACTCAGTTGACAATGACTCTACCCTCTACTAACTATGCTCTACCGCATGTTACAAATTACAACCACAAAATATAGGCTACGTCAATCAAGATTGCTCAACCGTGACGCACTTCTTTCGATGAAAGGATTCATTCGAGTAGTAGAATTATTTAAGCACTATATAAATACCTAATCGAAGGAAATTGAGAACCTAACCGACTTTACGTGCCAGAAAACGAGTACGCAAAGTGTGCACTTGGCACACACTTTCCGAATAAAAGCATCTTTTCGCGTGTATGTAATTGAAACTAAGCTATAAAATGGTTTGTTATAAGTATAAACGGTGGTCTACTGGTGGATGAGGTATATTTACACCGCAAGCACAGGTCAGAGTAATAACCAAACTTATTCAGTTGATCAACGAAACAGTTCGGTGCAAGATGTCGATCAACATCCTGAGATTTTGTCAACGCTCAAAATGATATCAACAATTCAGATTAAGGAAGTAGGTTACACCTTGTTCGGTATACTTCGATTTTAACCCTTTTAAGAACTCCCAGAAGAAACTGATGTAATAACTCCTTTAAATGACTAATTTCGCAGAGGGAATGTATCACGGTTAGGAGATAGAATTACTTATCAGATCCTAAGAGTTCAATCCTACAAACGCACTCAAGAAACAACATTCTGTTGCATTTCCAGTAGCTGTTGGTCTATGTTCTTTCTTCTCGCTTCGTTAAGGGCTAAGCGTTGTTGAAGACTGGCGCGACTACAGGAAAACAGAAATCAGCAATGACATTAGACAGACATCGGAAATAAAGTCTACAAGGTAGACGCGGAAAAATGAGTAGTAGCCTTATCAGAGTCTGGTCGCTCAAGGTGCAATTCACGCGATAACTTAGAAGTGATTTACATTTAATTTCTCCCTACAACCTCTGCCATACGGCGCAAAAGTGAAGAGAACATAGAAACTTGTCAGCTTCGGGGTGTTGCCGTCTTCAATCTACAAATTCCCCTCCCTATTTTACAATGTTGAGCCTAAATGGTATAGGGAAGATCTAGCCAGACCTGCTATTTTCGCTTAAAGCTGTAACTGTAAAGAGCAATTTCCCATCTTAATTATCTGGTGTACACACCTAGAGCTTCAACTAACATCAGCGATATGGCTCCGTTATGAGGGTTTAAATCAGGCAACGAACTAAGGGCACTATTCAAAACCGCAACTCGCAACCTTAGGCGCACTTGTTTAATGAAATGAAATGAATCTTAATTTGACCTGCTGATGAAGTCCAAGTGCAGGAATGATCCTCGCTAGTGAACTGCTATTGCACTCGTATCTTTCATGTTTCTTACTGAACTCTTAATTTTCATTGAAAGCCGAAGCTGAAGAAATCTGTCAACTGCAAATAACTCTCACCATTTATCAGGGTCCAGAGAATCACTATCGCTTCCCCTATCACGTGACATACCCAACGACGCTTTCTTCTTCTCTAATTGTTCATGAAGATTTTCGTACAATCCGCTGACCTGCTCGCCGTCACCATCCATTACACTAGTATCTTTCTCAGCAGTTCTGTCGCGCTCTTCCTTCTGGGGCGGAGACGGCTGCGTGGTATTAAGGTCAGCGGCAGATAGTGTAACATCATCGGCTTGTGATGTAGAGGTATTGAGTAGCAAAGGTAAACTATCACGAGCCATTTCCATGTTGGCTTGTTTTAGAAGTCCCTCGAGAGTTTCTAGGCTTGACTGTACCGATCTGCTCCGGTCGTGAGGAAGAGGATACGGCTTCTGACCGTGCGAGTGATGTTGGCTTACAAGAATAGCTGGCGTTTGTGAGTGAGCATGATTTTCCATCAAGTCTTGAGTCTCAAGGTGGCTGAAAGTCACTAGTGTACTGTTGCTTGACATGTTATTAAGGTTTTGGTCCGAGTTACTTTTCTTCATACCGCTGACAGAGGACTTTGACACAGTTCTCGGCGAGGTTACATGACGCATGTGCGACGCGCTTCTATTTCCTCTCGGAGTAACTCGGCCTGATCCGTCGAGACGAACACTCGTACCGAACGTAGCTCTCTCATAACCAGACACTTTGGCCTCCAGACGAGCGATCTGCAGTGCAGGAAGACGACAGATGTCACAAAATGTAATAATTGATGTTAGGAAAGAGTGATGAATTTAAAAGAGTGCAAGTGAAGAGTTGATCCTCAACAACAGGAGTTGCCTGTCAAGGCATGACCGGGCTTCAACACATACTCCCCAGATACCGGTTAGTCCCTACCGCCAACTGATTTGCAATGCCAAATGTGGAGAGCAACACTAAGTAGGTTCTTTGTTCTCCGAAGGATAATTTGATCACAAATAAGATTTTCAATAAAACGAAAAACAGAACGAGTTGCATGGAGGAACACCGATACCCATGGAATTTCCATTTCGCGAATACTCCACATCAGATACAGAATTTAATCAATCATATTTCAACTAAAGAGCGCGCTGTGAAATACCTCTGCATCTTTTATAACAAGCATCTCATTCGTCGCCTTAGCATCTTCTTGATACAACACAAGCTGAGATGCTAAGCTCCTGTTGTCCTCTATCAAAGTTCCGTTTTGCTCTTTTGCTCGAGCTAAATCCTGGGCGTGTCTTCTCTCGTGCTCTTGAATCCTCTGAATTTCTATACGGTGAGCTGCGTCGCTTTCGTCTTTCTGTGCGAGAGCTTTGGCGTGGTCTTCTTGTAGGCGTTGTACCTACCCTAAGGTAAACGGAGAAGGAAGAACTTTGCAACCGTGAAAATAACAACGTTGCGTTTGATGAACTGACCTCATCAAGTAAACTGTTAGTTAAGAGATCTCCATCAGTGAGGAACTTAGACAACAATTACCAAAATTATTTTGATCCCGTAAAATTCATAGCAGAGACGAACAGTCAGCCGTTACTGAAAATAACGGACTCAAAGTATTAGGATATTTTTCTTACCTCTTGATCCTGGGTGGCCTCTTTTAACTCGTGCTGTTGATGCGCTTTTCTCATTTCCTGCACGCACCTAGCCTCAGCCTGAGCCTCCCGTACCTGAGCCGCCCCAAGTTCCTTTGCAAGCCTGGTACAATCTGACTCCTTCGTGGTTAAGAGCGCATGCGCGTCATCAAGTTCCCGAATAAGCTCTTGCTCCGTCCGCTGACATTTCAAAAGGTCGCGGCGAGCTTCCATCAGCTCTGCGTGCTATGGAAAAAATTAACTTAAAGCTTAATTCTCCCTTGATAAATATCTGTAAAAAACTTTTTCTTGAACATGAAATTCAAAAAACAAATGGCTCTTAATAGGACTAAATCTCCAGATTTAAAAAAAGATCTGTGGAAAAATGTACCTGAAATCTTCTAAAATAGATAAAGGGGGTAAGTTCCTAAAGAAACTGTGGTGCTGCGTCAGTGGGAGTATCAAGGTCATTTGGGTTTTATCAACTGAGTTGAAAATGTAAATTGGCCACCGTAAAGAGTTTCAAGGCTGACGTTTCGAGCGTTAGTCCTTGAAATTCTTTACGGTAGCGAATTTACATTATCAACTTAGTTGTCAGCTAGCAATTACCGTGTTTTGAAGCTGCTCACGGGCCAAGCGCAATTCTTGACTTGTCTCCTCTGAATCTTCACGCCTCTTTTGCCATTTCGAAAGCTCCTGAGAACCAAAGATAAAAGTTGGTTTTACGTGCATCAATAAAGTAACAAAATAACAGAGATCCTTAACCCAAGATCATTTTCTCATTGGCTCAAAGAATTGCGTGGCTTAATACAATCAATAAGAATAAAAAGGTTCACTCCAACACACCACAACCTAACTTGTTATCAATCTTGACCTGACTTTCGCGCGTTTTGGGGACGCGATTGGCAGTAGTTAAATAGCTGCGCTTGCTAGCTTGTTTCCGGCGTAAATTCATTGATTTGCTCGCGCTTAGCATTGGCTGAACGTCATAAAGCGTTTGGGTATCAATTTTCCCGCCTTTTACGACTTATGGCAAGTTTTCTAGCGACTGGCCACGAGCTCCATAACAAGTTTCTATGCGCATTCCTGATTGGTTGATTCTAACATTAATGAACTGCTACGCGAGTTACGGAAAACAACGATGCAACACTTACTCTCTCAAACTCAGCGACTTGAGTTGCGCGTTTCTTTAACTCTTGCTGCTGATGTTTAACGGTCTTTTCTAAATGTTCGATTTTAGTTTTCCTTTGCCTCTCTTGTTCTTGATTTTGATCCCGTTTAGCTCTAAGATCGGCGATCTGCAATTATAAACGATAATCGAGGAAACTTTTGGTAATTTCTTGGTGTAAATCACGCATATTAAGACAAAGCATTATATCTCTGGACACACAACAATATGAATTACAGTAATTCCCTGGAATAAAACCTTCACTACTGCAAAATCTACGGTAATACGCCACTAACGCAACAAGCCACAGACAGTACACCAAATACAAAAAGTTAACTTTTTTTCTCGTCATATTGATGGCTGATCTCATTTCAACACCTACGTTCAATACATCCGTACCAGAGCATGGGAACTGGGTTGAGTACATGAAATCGGGCCTAACTAGGTCCAAAGTAAATATCACTAAAAAAACATCAAAAACAGCGACCAAATTTTCTGTCCGTCATGACTCGACTTGTGAGGTTTGCCTTTTATTTTCTTACTCTCGACTTCTAACATGGACAACTTTAAGTTGTATTATTATACTCGGTAAAAACAGCCGCGCGCAAAAAAAAAGCGGGTTCTTATATTTTTCTGGTTAGTTTACTGGTAACCTTCCTCTGTATGCATAACACGGAGTGTACGATGGATTAGTATTTGTGCGGTATGGCATTTATTTTTGGTTGCAAGTTAAGGGTAATACAGTTACAGAAAATAACGCCTGCCGTCCGTATTTATTACCTCTACAGCTCTCTCGCTAAGTTCATATCGAGCCTGGTTTAGCGCATGCTCTAAAGTGATAACCTTCTGTTGTAGTTCACTCTTGTGTTCCTTCATGGTCATGTCCAGCTGGGTAACCTGGCAAGTACAGTGAAAAGTATGAAGTTTTGATTAGAAAAAAACAAACATACAAACAAACAAATCTGTCAGCTCAGTGGTTGAAATCGCATTAAGGATATACAGTACAAGTAGAAGGATGAGAATTCTTTCATCCCAACATAAGTGAGCTTCAGTTGATGTCAAATCATTCCCAAATTATTGCAAGTCGATGTCGAATCAATATTTCATGATATGACAGCCAAAGGGGAGGATTACGACTCAGGTATGAAAGTGTGTTGCCTGCCGTCACGTCATGATATGCGGACCTCTCTGAAACAATTTTACTATCTTATAAAGTTAATAAGGTCACAGTATTCAGTTGTGATTGAAACATTTTGATCTACTTTCTGCTTAAAAATTATTGTCACAAGAATCATTGACGGCAGCATGAAAAGAAATTGCAGTTTTGGCTCTTAACCTCGGAGCCACATGTTAATGTGACACGCATGAACTCACCTGAGCAGCTTTCTGCTTCAATTCCCATTGTCTCTCCTTGAGCGCTTTGTCGAGTTCAACGACCTTACTCTCCTTGTCTTTCAAATTCTTGTCTTTCTGTTGTAGTTCTTCCATGCTCTCGTTCAACATTTTGTCCAGTTCCTCGACTTTCTTTTCTTTTTCTTGAACTTCTTTTTGACTTGTCTGCAATACTTCTTGGAGCGATTTCAGTTGAGATATCGTGTCCTGTAACTCGGTCTGGATTTTGTTCACCTAAATGACAATAGCGAAAAGTGCTTAGTCTGCGAGGGAGACGTAAAATCACGAAGACGTGAACATGACTGAGAGTTCCCTAGAGCTAACAGGGCTTCCTTACGTCATGGGTAGGATTCTAGCGCTTTCAATTGACCAATCAGAGCTGAAAAATATCACAAGGCGGAGATGGAAACTCAGAGTAAATAAGTGTTACGTTCCTTAAGAACAAGCGCGTGAAAACACGAGTAACTAAGTCGCAGTAGTTTTTAGTTTGACTGCATAAAGCCTGCAATGCAGGCGTGTTATTAGGGCGTGTTAAAGAAGCGCGCGATCGTTAACTCATTCCCCCACCATCAGCCCCTTCTCTTTTTCACTGTCGCTCACCCCCTCGGTACAAATGTCTTTCTCCCCAGCCTTCGACTTCCATTAAAATCAAAGATGAGGGCCAGAATTTGCGCTAAGAAAATACTGCGCACTCGCTCGCCAGTATTACTCCTGCTCAGCGGGCTAGACTGTACATGACTGTTTTATAGAACGTCGTGAGTTTCTGCGACCAATCACAGAGAGACACGAAACAAAACTTAAAAAAAAAAAGCGCAACATTCCATTCGTCACATCAGGTACTGCTGATCAGCATTTACTGTCAGGCTGCCGCTAGGAGTTTAAGAGACGTAGTCACGTAAGGCACCATTCTTTTTCAGAAAGCATGTCATGTAATGTCCCCGTATGCTAACCTCAACTTTCACTCTTAGTAACGCAATATCAGTCGATCACGTCAAGCTAGGTAGCTTTTTCGTGATTTTGTTGCACTGAATACCTTTTTGTAAGTCATGAAGTCACAGAACTTCCGCGTTTACGTCACGAACCTTCATTAGAGTCCTCAACATCCAACAGAAGTTACGACAAATTCATCGAAAAATTACCTCGTTATCCAGTTCCGCATTGTGCTCCGTCGTTTCCGAAAATTCGCCTTCTACCTGGCGCAACCTCTCTTCCAATTCCCCGTTTTTCTTCGTCATCTCGGACAGTTGCTTTCGCGTCTCCTTAAGAGCTTGTTCCAGGGTCTGTGCTTGCGCGGTCTTCTTGTCACACTGGCTTCGGGACTGTTGCAGAAGCTGCTCCAACTCCACAATACTCGCTGAGCTGTGTTTCATGTCTTTATGAACTTCTCTCAGAGTCGAGTTCAGTTCGTTCATTTGTCGAGTTCTTTCGTCGATGTCTTCTTTGGCTCCTTGAAGTTTCTGATGTAAGTCGCTTGACTCCAATTGTGATGTGTTTCGTTCCCGAGCAATTTCTTCTTCCAAGATGGCGACTTGTTGTTGCAGATGAGAACGCGATTCCTCCAAGTCACGAATTCTCTCTTGATCTCTTTGGAGTGCATTTTGCTGATCGGCAACCATACTTTCCAGTTGAACAACCTGTTCGTTCTTTTGATGGACGTCTGACAGCGTCTGCTGCAATGCTTTTTGCAGTTTCGATATCTAAATACGACAAACAAATCAAAGAAAAATCAAACAAACAAAAGAGGAGAAAAAATCAATACCAAACAAGGTTAGGCAAACTAACGCCCATAGACGAAACGGAAGTAGGCCTAGAGTAAGGGAGATGCAGGGGCCCTTGAATGACCGCGTTGATCTCTAAATCGTGAGAATTGGGTTCTAGCTTGCGAACTGGCGTCGGCAAGAACGTTTCTTTGTCCGCGATAAAGCTTGAGGACTAGGGCAAAGCAAGCCGGTGCAAGGAGTCTGGCACTGATGATGGTTGTTGTTGAGCACGTTACTACTCTGTCTTAAATTCAACGAGACTCACAGGAGCTGCAGGCAATGAAGAAAATTCTCCACGATTTTTTCAGGGTTCTGGCGGAGACATTTCCGGCTAGGAACCTTGTTACGAATCCCGGGAATAGAATATACCGATGGAAAAAAAAAGTTCACTCAGTAATTCTCTTCAACCTCACCTCTAGTCTCTTCTCTTCCAACTCCTGTTCATGCGCACTACGAGCTTCCTTTAACTGGCCCACATACATCTCGATTTCCTTGTGACATTCTGCCAACGACACTTCCATTTTTCTGACCTGCTGTGTGGCCTTATCAGCCTGTTCATCCAGCTTTTCCAGTTTCTGACTGTGCTGGACAGACTGAGTGTCTCGTACTTCGATCTCTTGCTTCTGTTCCTGAAGAGCTCGCTCCATCTGATCGGCGAGTGACTTTTTTAGATTCAGTTCTTGGCGGGAGGCTAGAGAAATAACAAAAAAACGTATTATCACAAATGAAATCCGATAATAAATTCTACGACATATAAAGTGAAATCAGCATAGAATCGGAGCACGCGCTTATCCATATCGTACCTGCCAAGGAAGTCTCAAGATGAGCTAAGACAGTATTTTTCTCCTCAAATGATCTCTGCAACTGAAGAAAAGAAAACTTTTACGTTAATACACACAACTCTCTTGCAATATCGGCGAAAAAGTATGAATCTACAACTGAATATAAAAAAAAATTCAGACAGTCTCTAATCCCAGCTTCAAACATATGACCGGCTAAAATACGAAATTTTATTTAAAATAACCAAGAAGTTCAGAATTTAGCCGCACTATGCTATTGTTATCGAAAAATGTAGTCACATTATGGGCACTGTCACTCCATCAGGATTGAAACCTGCGTTTTCAGAGATTTGATTTTTGGTGAGACAAACTCATTTCTTACGAATGACTGCTTCTGACATCAGATTTCAAAATTTTCTGATTCTTCCACGATCGTAAAGTATGTTTGAAAATAAAAATACAAAACATAACACACAATAGCAGTCTTAAGCCTCCCCTTATAAGAATCCTTTTCATTCATCGATGCATTTCCCCTTCGATAACAATACGGCAATTACATTAAGGCCTCATCAAAGTGACAAATAATGAAATTGGAGAGCCTTTTCCCAAATTATTTTGCAACCTGTGGCAACCATGATGCAATTCTCGTCTTTATTTTACCTCCTCTATCTGTCTCTGCAGCTCGAGACACTGTTCACCGTGTAACGCTTTCACTCTGTCCACGAGTGCAGCAGATTCCTTCAGTTCGATATCCTTGGCTTCCACCGATCCTTCCAGTTCCCCAATACGCCGAGCTTTGGATTCCAGCTCCTCTTGAATCTCTTTTAGTTTAGACTCATGTAAGCTCGATTCAGATGTCCTGTCAGTTAGCTCTCTCTCGACGGTGCTAAAGCGTGACGTAGCTTGTCGAACCTTAGGAAGGTTAAAGATATAAAAGAGCCAGTAAAAATGAGGGTCTCAATGGCCCACGGTTAAGGCGCTAGACTCAAGATCGTAAGTGAACGTGTTGAGTGTGGTATTCTTGAGAGTGTAAATATGAGTCAAAGAACTGTTAGAGAAACCTGACAAAATCATGTAGGGAAAGGGGGCTAGAATCTCATCAAGAAGGAACAGAAAGAAAAGGAAAGATAGAAAAAAAAAAAAAAGAAACAAAAAAGTAAGTCACTGTGCTAGCAGCCATAGACAACTGTCCCGGCTTGAATGATATTAGGCCTCTTCAGCAGGGCAAAGCGACCTTGATGCCCTCCCATCGATATCTAAAAAGCCTTTATGGGTATTCTGTGACTTAAGTGACAAGGTAAGGCAAGCAGGTTACTTTATTACCTCTCGCTGTAGAATTCCATTCTCTGAAATTTTTGCTTCCAATTCGTTCTGTAAATCAACCACTTTAAGATTTCTCTGACCAAGCTTGCTCTCCAGCGACGCAATCTGCGCCATTTTGTCGGCCAGTCGCTCTTCCAGTTGAATTGTTTGAGCTGAGTACCTGGCCACTTCATCCTCTAAGCGTGAGATGATCTGTTCAAGTTCCTGTTGCTTGCGATCACCAATACGACTCCGTTCCACAATGGCTGACAACTCAGTTCTCAAACCATCCATAACACCACCATCACCAGCTAAACCTGACAATGAAACAGACCAAAACGCACAATGAACACGAGGACAAACTTTTCCGATTTGCCTTTAAACATCCCGGTTTAGTTCTCATAATCTAATTATAAAAGCGTCAAATCACGATTTGAAAATTTCCTTCCAGGCTGGTGAGATTGTTCAGACGAGGCGTATTTGGCCTACAAGCTTCTAGCTTCCGCAGGAGAAGAGGGGGAGGTTTCAAATAGTTGCTTCCTCGTTGAGAATTCCGTCTCGTCTGCTAATCTTGAACTCCAGTTCACGCATCGATAGTCAGGAGTGCTCGAGGTCAAGGGATTCTGCATGCTGTCTCGTCCTTATTTCGCGTCGTGCCTGCTCTATAATGACCCTTCAACTCCCACGAGTGATTAACATGTAACTTCTCCAAACATTATCCAGCAAACGATGAAAAATTAAAAATTCCCAAGTTATCAAGCAGGCGTTGTTTTCTTGATCTAACACCAAATTCTCGTCACTAATTTACAAGGAATTGTGCAGTAGCTAGATGGGAGAATTAAGATCACGGGAGCAAAAGGTTCAACACAGTTTGCTCGAGCCCGCTACTCACCCGCTATGTGTTTCTGTTGAGCGGCTGCCCGTGCTACAGCAGTAGCCTGTAGTTTTTGTATCTCAGCTTCTTTCATTGCCAGCTTCAGTTTCAGATCAGCAATCACCGCTCTCGCTGTTCCCCCGCTTCCCGTCACGTGGTCGCGTTCGTTGTCTACGTCATCTTGTATGTAACTACCCATGTTGCGCGGACTGATGCTATGGTAACCGTTCATTGTCTGGGTACTGCTACAAATGCCACTGTCACTGGTCTGAAAACGAAAGAAATTATGTCTAGATCTAGAAGTATGGTATAATTTCTGTTTCAAAGCTGAAAAAAAAAGAGGGTTCTCAGTTTGTTTCATCTCCGATCCACGAGCCTGAAAAGCTTAAGAACTTTATAGGCGTCTGAATAATCTTTACTAAGTCCTCTTGTAACATGTCCATATCATGTACAATTTCTGTCGTTTTAGCTCGTCATACAATACGCGGCGAAGGAGACGTGTAGCGTGACTGGCCAGGGCGACAGTTCAAAGGAGGACATACCTTTCACGAACTACAATCGAATCTTAAGTCATGTACACTCGTAACGAAATTGAATTTCCGATTATGTCTACTTCTCATAGACTGACACTTCCAGGGAGTGTAGCTTTCAATATAGTGACGATCGCTCAGCAGTGGTTGAAAACGACGACATTTTCTGTGGCTGGAAATATGAGGTAAAATCACCTTGCCGGAGTTGTCCGTCTATTAATGAGTGATCATTGTCTTTCCTTTGTTTTTTATAACCCGCTTTCTAACTCTTACAGCTTGAACAAAGTCAAATGGAACACATTTGAAGAACATTTAAGAAACGCAACTTAAAAACCAGTCCGATTTTTGTATTTGTAAAGAGACTGGGTAGGTATGTATTAAGGGAAAGGTATGGCGAAAATCTCTGGAGAAATTTTCAAGGACAGTATTGGCCATGTCAAATAAACGAACTGCTCGAGAAAACGAAGTGGCCCCAATACTCGTACGTTAAAAAAAAAAAAAAAATGACTGCCTTCTTCCTACAGGTTTTCGAGCAAATTTCAAATGATTCTAACCCTTGACCCAAATAATGACTCAAAGCAGTCGATCTTTGGTTCGATTATAAGAGCGAGTAAAAACCTTTTCTCGTTCGTGCAATGCTTGCATTTTTTTTACGATACAAATCTACATTAAACCTCTCAGAAATACTCACAGAGGGCGTGGCAGTCACGTGCTCTTTCATGCTCTGTTCCTGAACCTGATGAACTAATCCTTCTAGTCGGGCCATGTGAAGTTTCGTTTCTTCCATTTCTCGCTGGTACTGGATAATTTTCTCCTTCTGTTTCTCCACTGTGTTTTGTAGTTCTCCTTGGTCTTTGAGCAGAAGCTCATTTTTTCTAAGTTCGTTTTCAATTCTGCCAATTTTCTGGCTCTGACGCGAGATAGTCGCTCGTAAACTGGTGTTCTCGTGTTGCATAGATGTCTGACTGTCTTCCTTGGCTGTTCCCTCGGCTTGGAGAAGCCTATGTCAAAAAAAAAAAAAGAAGAAAAAAACTCTTAAGTATAAAATAAAACACTAATTCCTAGAAGAATATCTGTGCACATGCAAAATCAAACATTTTAACCGTTAGTGACCAAAAAGGTTGAAGACGCAAACCAAGAAGTTTTATGTAGTTTCTAGCCTATGAATTGAGCAATTTATCTACGTTTCCAGTCGAAGTTGCGTTCGTATTGATGAGAGCATGAGACCACACAACCGGCTGAGGAGCACATTTGTAAACTGAATACTATAAAATTACAATCACAACGGCCGACCAGAGCAAAGGGAATCAAAGACTAAACTTGAGTAGCATCGAAAACTCGAGAAGAAAAATACAATTCCGGCTTCATGCACGAGGAAACACGATCGCGCAAAAAAAGAAAAATGCGATTGGTGCTCGCTTTTCATTTGCTTGTTTCGATTTTGAAACAAATGATAAAACGTTATGAAGAAAATACCAACGCAATCCAACTGAGACTATTTCAATAAGTATGGATGTTATGGGAAAAGGAAAACCGTTCACGGCGAGTTTATTAAAATGCTTGAAAAAGTTTCGATTATTTTGCTTTGTAAAATTGGACGCACTTTACAATAAAGGAGGCGGACCCATGCGCCTGTTAACAACTCAACGTGAAAATCAAAGAGTCGCAGATTCCTGCAATAAATTCTTTTAGAGGGTGGTATGTGTCTTATATGGGACCTTACCTACAGCTACACTGTGTTACAATTGTTTTCCTTTTTTGAATTTTTCAAGCTATTCACTTGTAAGTACTGGTATCAAATTGAAACAAAAGACAAACTAAAGAGATTTAATTATTATTATTATTTTTTTAATGCGTCTCACCTTATTTCTTCCTGCAGGTCTGTTATTTGTGCCTGTAACGTGGCTTCCCGATCCAGCAGATCATCTCGTTCCCGCTGGGACTGGGAGCTAACATCTTTCCAGTGTCTCTCGCGGTCCGAATGCTACGAACCAAAGAAACACCAACAGCACTGAGTTGATTACAGACAGGAGAAAGTCTAACTGAACAGGTTTCGCAAAGTCAGGGTTGCCACTCATTAGAACCCAAAAAATTCCCTGACTTTTCCCTGACCTCAAAACATTTTTCACTGACATTGAATTAAATTAATTATCAAACAGGCCAAATCCACTTTTACATTTCTCCATCGCTTTTAAGCTTTCTATCCGATTTGCGACACCCGATCGACTACTTCAGAACCTTTGTGGAACCCTCAAAACAAAATTCACTGAATTTTCACTGACTTTGACGAGAACTAAGATTTTCCCTGACTTTTTGTAAAATTCCCTGACTTTTCCCTGACCTTGAAAAATTTTTGTTTTTCCCTGACTTTTCCCTGACCGTGGCAACCTTGAAAGTAGAAAGATCGTTGCACTGGACTACAATTATGACTTCCACTCAGATTATCTAAACGTCAGTTAAAGCAGAGCTGACAACATTCCTTTGCAAGACTAGTCTCACCCGAAAAACAACACAATCGTCTGTTGTTCTTTGGCTCAAATCATTTACCGAAATATGTAATAAAACTATAGAGTTTATCTTCGTGGGCATAAGTATGTTTGGGGTCTGACTCAAGAGGATAACAACGGAAAAAAAAAAAGACAACAAAATGAGATGTGATCTACATTTTCGCCCTTTTAGCCCGCAAAATACGCCAAAGTGATAATCATTAGTGTTTTACTATATGTGCACGCAATAAACACTTGGAATTACGAACGAAGTAAAACAGAATAGATTGGCTTCGAACAGCTCACTTCATTCGCTTTGATTGGTCGCTGTATCTACTTTGAAACAGGCTGTACCACAATCAATCAAAAAGCGCTCTCGTTTCACAAGGTGAGTACCAGTCCTTGCATCAATTTAAATCAATTGATGTTGAAGAAGTTACCACTATACGGGTTACCTGTTTTCTTAACGATTTTATCGTGGTATCCTGCTCCGTGAGTTTGTCTGACAGCTCTTCAACATTTCTTAAAGCTTGTTCAAGCTGATCCTCTAATCTGTTGACAATTGAGTACAGAATTACTTCTTTGTTCACACAAAATTATCACGCGTGCACTTCATAAAAGAAAACTATTCCCTAGCTTTTAACTCTTTACACTCTAACATCAGTATGTATATTCTCCATACTGTTCTCTCTACATCTCCTTGGGTACTGACAAGGAGAATTTTTTTCGATAATCAAGAGCTTCTTAAGATGGGATCGTTATGTTTATTCTTGCAACCTTAATGTGTGTTTTAGGGGTAACAGTGTAAAGAGAATTTAGATGCTAGTCACTCTTAGCAATCAAAGGGTAAACGGAGGTTCTGCAGAAATAAGAGCACAGGTAAGTTTAAGGAAGCGAAGGTATACACCGAATCGAAATACGGGCGTCCAATTTTGAACTGCCATTGTTCTGGACTTCCTAGCCTCTCACACATGTAATAACAGGCCATTTGCGGTTGGAGATCACGTGCTTAGATACCGCATAGCAACGCCATACTGGAGAGCAAGCACTCCAGTGATCTCAGACAAAATAGAGATCACATAGGTCTGCATTCAAACAAAGAATACAGCGGATAACAAGTTAAAGGGTATCCCAATTCGAGAAATCTTGTAAGTTTTAATCAACGCGGCTTCCTTGAAGTGTATCAGCGAAAAACGAATTTTTGTGTGATTTTGCTGCTGATACACTCCGGGGAAGCTGTTGATTACTTCTTACTGGATTTCTCGAGTTGGGATACCTTTTGACCTGTTATCCACTGTATTCTTTGTTTGAATGCAGACCTCTATACTATCTGAGATCACTGGAGTGCTTGCTCTCCAGTATGGCGTTGCTATGCGGTATCTAAGCACGTGATCTCTAGCTGCAAAAGGCCTATTCTTTTGTGTTTCCACGTCTGACGAGGTTAGCAAGTCTAGAACAATAGTAATTCAAATAGTCCTTTTTACAGCTGAGAGCTTGGTGGCCAAGCCTTTGAACAGGAGTGAGGCTCAGTGTGACCTTGTTATGATAGAGATGCTGGTTTTCAAATGCAAAATTCTTTGTTATCATGCTAACTAGATGCTGGTCTCTATCATAACAGGGTCACCCTTAGCCTCACTCCTGTTCAAAGGCTTGGCCACCAAGCCCACAACTGTAAAAAGGACTATTGGACACCATATTTCAGTTGGTGTATACAGAACCAATTTATGACGAGAAAGTAGTTGTATTGTTTGTTTATGGTTTGTTTTGAATATTATTTGGTGATATCACAGTATTCACCACATTAAGGGAAAGTAAACTGAAATAGAGGCAACAGGCAGCACCTAGATTGCTTTAATGAGCTTTTGAGAACAAGGACTACACTACATGTACTCTCTACATAGGAGATAGGAGTGGCCAACTTGAAATGTGAATTATGATTGAGCAGGACTTATGGAGTGGCATTAGGTTAGTATCTACCTGCAACCAAGGGAGGCTTAGGGGGTCAATAACATAGATGAAAAAAGTATGTGCATCTGATTTGCTGAAAAAAAGTACATTTTTCATGTAATACGGGCGCAAAGTTGTAACACAAGTGCAAATTCCAAATAGCTTGCACTGTCACGAAATTTTGTCTGCTTTGACTTTCTGCAATGCCTTTTTCACGCAAATTAGTAGTAAGTAACAAAACGATTTCAAAAGCAGTTTGGTGTGAACAAGCACTTGTACATTTTTCAAAGACAACAAAATTGCACCTGCCCTATGGGCTCATACAATTGAAAAATTTTCTTGCACTTATAAACACTAAATTGTACTTGAGGTCATGTTATTACCTATACCAGCAAATCTTAGGGAAAAAAATGCAAAAAAAAAATTGTGCTTTGTCTACCTCTTCCTCAGCTTTGCTTCTTCTCTCAGTTCATTTTCAGCTGCTGTGGCTGATTCAAGAACACTTCTGAGTTCTTCTGTCTTTGACTGAAGCTCTTCCCTGCAATCTTGCATGGTTTGTTCAGCAAATCTGTGGTCAAAAATAAAAGATACCTATTATTTTCATTTGTGATAAAATCTTGTGATTAATTGTGGTACAATCCTTCGCAGGTGAAATGTAATTGAAGCAGTTTATCAGAATACATTTAAAAATAAAAACCTTATTGAATAAATCATTGATTTCAGAACATCTCTCTTGCACTTTTTTCCTGTGCTTGAACAGGGGAGGGGCAACTTGAAGACAAACAACGTGTGCCTAACTTGATTTTCAAGTCTAGTGCCTAGTTAGTCAGTAACACTTCACTGCAGTTGTGAAAGTCTCCCCTACAAATATCTTTTGTGATAATGTTACCCTTCCTAACAGTTCTTGTTTGGCTGAAACTAAGGGAAGGGAGTGGTATGGTTGAATGACATCAAGAATGACATTGTTTTACCTTACAGCATCCTCCTGTGAGGCCAGGTCTGACTCCAGACTCACAATTCTGTCTTCCATAGGAGGGAGTCTTTTCCTTTCAACATCTAACTCTTGACTAAGAATCTTCACCTGAAATACAAAATAAACTTAATCAAGCCTCACCATACAAATGCATATGTTTCTAAATTTACTGCAAGGTTCAGAAGGGCTATAAATACACTTTAAAAGGATAAAGAAAAACTTAATTTGCCAGAGACTGACCAGTTGATCATTTACAGAAGGTAGCAACAGAGTTGAGCTCATGGCAAATGAGAACAAAACCAGCCAGGAGCAGGACCACTGCATTACAAGTCCAAGGCTCCAAACACTCAGCCACACTGTCTTAATTTTATCAGGCACTAACTTACCTTGTTTCTAGCCTGATGCAGGTCATAGCTGAGATTTTCAAGTTCAGTCATTAGCTTGTGGTTTTGGTTGACAAGTTGGGAGTTTTCCTCCCGCTGCTTGGAAAGTTTTTTAATCATGTTATCATGGTCATAGTCACTTGCACTACCAAATGACCTGCTATCAAGCTGCAACCAGATTTTAAGACATTTGTAAATAAATAAGAAAAAAGTAGTAAAGCTATATTAATCGTTTGTCGTTTATTCTTTGAGGATAATAGATCCCTTGGCACAAATATGTCTGTTGATGTTGAAGTTGCAGATCATTTCATTGTGAGGTAATCACCGTGAACTCAGACTGGAATTGTTAACTTGCTATTTTCTTCACTTTAGGCTGCGCATCTGAGCAGAGCTGTATCTTTGCTTGTCCACAATAAATTGTCTCATCAGGAAACTGCTCTAAAGTAACAAAGTTTACTTTTTCACTTTCAACATCTGGTTGATATCAGACATGAGTTATTCACATTATCTACCACACATGTTTCCAATTTTAGATGTCAGAATTCAATGTTGACCAAAACAACATTCCTCACTTTTTGTTTTCTTAATCCTTATTACCTTTCTAGTTGAAAATGTATTGAAAAAATACATCAGAGGGAAAGTCCTTTAGAGTCATTCCTTGAAGTGAAAGGGTTAAAAACACAATTCATTTTTAAAAATTCAACCGAAGAATACACTTGATGTACCTCTTGTTCCCTTGGTGACAGGTGGGTTGATCCATTTCTGAGGTCTGTGTATGATGACCTCAAGGGCTGAGAGTTGTTTATCAATGGCGTCCCTCTACGACTCTTCGACAAAAGGTTTGGCTCAGAGCCTGCTGGGGTAAGGTCAGCTAAGGTCAACACTTGACCGCCAGCACTCTCTGGTGATGATGAATAGCTTCTTCTCTGGCCATTTAGACTGAAAAAAAAATTGGAAACTTCTTCCCTGCTTCTTCTGGCTCTTATACTAGAGCCAAGACAGTACTTTTGGCCACTTTCCATGCAATTTCAGCCAGTATATCACTGTCTAACTTAAAAAATTAAGCCTTCAGAAAATTTTCAAGCCTATATATTGCTTTCTGTTTTAAGCTTCATCATCCAGCATGGTGCTTGTTTCTTCTACATTCATTCTTTATCAAATGGATGATTGTCCATCCTTGTAAAGTTATTTCAGGATTTTGTTATATTCAGAGATAATTCTTAATCCTTGCAATTGTTCTAACTACCTGTGATATATTAAACATTTAGTGCATCCAACAGGAGTGGTCCTTCATGATCTAAAAGCCTCCCTAGAGAAGTTTCTTTTGCTTCTCAATTAATAAAAAATATGTAGTTATTCATTATGTGCTGGTAGATTTGTCAGAGTTGCTCATTAGTTTGACTCCTTTGTTTATTAACTGCCCCAACCCTATACAGTACAACAACATTGTACATATTCTCCAGACTGTTTGCTATACATTTCCTATGGGTCTGACAGCAAAGATTTGTTCAACAATCTGAGCTTCTCTGGTTAGTACTGCTTTATTCTTGTGACCTTAATGTTTGATTCATGAGTAACATTATAAAGAGGTATTAGATGCTAGTTTGCCTTCAGCCAGCCAAAGACCTGGTGATTTTATACACTGCGATCACAGCCACTGGAGAAAAATTGCCAGGAGTACCCCCTGCTTTGATTGCGGTTTTTGCTAATCACAGGGGTCAAATTCGCCACCATCAGTGGATAAGATTACCAGGTGTGTTGCTGGCTTAAGGGGGTTAAAGGGCTAAAGAGGCCACTTACCCTAGCTCTTCAGCACTGGCATGAAAGTTTCGATCTTTCGTTTCAGCTCTTGTTTCATATGAAATTTGTTTCTGAAGAGGTTGTCGTGATTTGCTGCTTGGAAAAGGAAAAAAGATGTTTGATCATCAGTTTTTCCATAAATAGCCCCTCATACAGTTAAGCACATAGTTACCAGACCTTTCATGGGGATTTGGGCTGAAGTTGACCTTCTTATAAACGAGAGATAGATTCCATGTTGCCCTGAGTCTGCCAGTGTGTCAACGATGTTCTTAGCACAGGTACATGACAACATGGAATCTATTTGTTTCATGTAACAAGGAAACAAATGGTGGCATCATCTGCACATCTGTCCTCTACTAGATCACAAGTTAAAACCAATCATAATGCCAGTATAATTAACAATTATTCCACAAGCACGTGTTGGTTATGAGATGATAGATAGCCAATGAGGCAAGTAGTGCCAAGTTGGCCATAATCATCTCATATCCAACAAGTGCGAGTGGAATAATTGTTTTATTAAAAACGCCCCCAAGATATTAGACAAATCTTACCAAATCTTAAATTGTTTAGCTCCCTTTTAATTTATAGCTAATGCATACACTTACCATATTTGTAGATCATGGTATATTGGCTCATATACCATAATGGCTAAGCCAAGAAAAAGTCTTGAATTGCATTATCCAATGATCCAGTTTTTAATAATGCAACTTATTTTTATGAAAGATGATAGTTAACATTTAAACAGAGTAACTCATGTCAGAAACCAAGCAAGTTCTACATCATGACAAGTTTATATTAATTGCATCATAGAAGGAATAGGTTTAGACACAGGAGAACTGGGCCTGAGCTGCATTTAAAACTTAGAAAGTTGTCATTATTCATAATCATCTCCTTTGAATGATCCCATCCTGAAATCTCTATATAGTATATTCCAAATTTTATGCCTTTTTATCTTACACTTGGAAATGAGCTCAAATAATTTAATAAATTAATCTCATGTCTTAATAAAACCTGAGCAGAAAATAGTCACTACACGACACTGAATAATTCCTTAACTCTAATCATAAAAAAAAAAACACTGTCACTTCAAGACAAACACTTCCATTTATTTAGACAAGACAGTAGAAGTCATTCCCAAAAATTCAGTTGTCAACAAGATCCAGTGCTGCTCTTGAAAAAAAGAAATTCCTTGTATGTATTTTGTTTTTGAAAGAGGGAGGTAGATCCCAAATTTAACCCATTAACCCCAATCATTCAAACAAAGAAAAAAAAAGTTGTACGATTTTGATCAACGCAGACGCGACTAAATTAAATAACAATTACATGTTTGGGTGCACCTTGTTAAAACCATTTAAACTCTAGAGAAATGTTTCAAAAGAGGACATTTTAAAGACATTGGTCAGAGCTGTGCAATGCATTGATCCTTTTGAAGGACTTTAAAAAGTTCATGTCTGTATGATCAGCGACGACTTCGTGAAGAAGGCAAATACTTTACAACGATAACAGCGAACATCAAAATTTGTTGATTAAACAATTATCACTTTGACTGTGATTTGTAAAGCTTATCTACGGTAATCCGAACTCTTTCAGACAAATCTACGGAAATTTCCTCCGTAAAATTGGCAAATTGCAGCTACTTGTCCAAAAAAAATCAAATTCTAAGTTACAAAGGACAACGAAGCTCGCTTTCGAGCTTTGTCCATACTTCGTACCCTTGGTTACGACACACCAACTTCGGAACGCGGACAAGATGTGCGTGGTCTTGTATTTCTCTATCATACGAATTTTCCATTTAACCTCCTTTTCGTTTTGGCTACTAAAAACACTACAATCACTATAAAATATTGGCAACAAATTAATTAAGCCAGAATCCAAGAGTCTTGATCAAAATAAACTTGAAACGCGTGTAACGAGATTATTTACACAGCATTGATTAGGAGTAGAAACTTGCAAAGCTCTTGTAAATACGAGACCACCACTCTCGCACGGATCAACAATTAGGAATGGCATCGAACGCTACTTCCCTTCGGAAGGGCTACATAGCAAGACATAACTTTTTAAAGACACAGCACGATTCAAAAAATGTCTTGTCCATCAAATCCAAGCACAAATGACTTTTAATGATCACGTTCGAAGGCCCATAAGTGATAAACTCACGATTGTGATTCACTGCAGGACGTCCGATCGTAAAATGAGAAATAACTGTTTGAAAATGATCGTGTTGAATGAACACAAGGAGCTCAATGAACTGCTACTGTAACTTTATTTTAGCTATTCTATAATGGTAAGTAAATTAAAGAAAATTCTTACCCGTTTGTCGCATGTGGTGGATTCAAACTCTGGAGTGACTGTTCAGTCTGAAGTAATCTTCGTCGCAAGTCATAGCAATCTCGCATCAAAGGATCATCCTCAACGCCAGATCTAGCGCTGGTAGTGACACTGCTGCTCACACTCGACCTCCGACTCATCTTTCAAGATTTCCTCTCCACAAATACATACTGTAAACTTATTCTATTGCCGTAGGCTTTCAGAGGTGACAAGATCGCAATGGACGCGAATCGCGTTCTTTTGGTTTATAGAGTATCATTAACTGGACACAGGGTAGCAAATCAAAATCAAATTACAGACATTTCCTCCACTACATAGATACTGACCGATTTCCAAACAGTAACGGTGAAATAAAAGTATTCTCAATTTCAATAGGTTTCCCTTGTGGCTCCTACGGCGCTAATAGTAGTTAAATTTGAAATTCGTTCCGAGTCTCTGTTGACAATTGCAACGAAAAACCGCCGCGGCAATTGAACGATTTACACTTCCCCGTGATTTCTGTAAACCAATCAAAACGCTATATTAAAGTGAACGGACCAATGAACGAATAGCGAGCACAAAGCAACACGGTTCATTAGTCAGGTACAAAACGACTCGAGTCGCTATTAGAAGAGGCTCTTAAACATCTTTTAATGAATTTATCTCAATCGCAAAACGGCGTCGAAATCTCTATCGTACGGTAAAAGGAAGTTCGGTGAACCATAACTGTAATTTACAGTTTTAAATGTTGTTTTGTTTCGTGTCTTCGCTTCATTTTGGCGAAATTAGTCAACCACTGTTCACTCAGAAGAAGAGTTACTTCGAAAAATTGTTTAAGCACAGTTGAAGGTTTTTGCTATTTCTCTGATAATTAAGATTACAGTGTTGTTTAAAGGAAAAGACGAAATCTACTTTCAAACATAAACACAGGAAACGATAATTTGCATCTCATCAGAAATAATACTTTCTAAAGATAAAGGTGCCAAACACATAACAACAAGGGTAAATTTTGTGATTACAGGTGTCTAGTTCTCATAGAAAAACGCCTCTCCTAGCGAGTTATTTATATTTCAAGCGTCGCTGGTAATTAACCTGTTCATATTTGAAAATGTAACCTTTCTCTTTCCCCATCTAAAAAGTAAAACAAAGAAAAAGCCATCTACGTACAATTTTGGCTCTTCGGAAGGTGGAACAATAATCGTGACTGATTAACTTCGCATTGGACCAACGGGACTCTCATAAGAATAGCTGAGATCCTAAGGAGTGCAGTGGCGACTGAAAATCGCCCTTTTTAAAATTGAAAAATGTGGCCTTCATTGACCACTACCCAAATGGCTCTTATCAGGGCCAAACTAAGAAACTAGGTCTGGATCTTGCAACACACTCCTGACGTTTCTGCGTCTAAGAATTCTCATTAAAAAAAAAAAAAAAAAACGATTCTCAGTCCTTCCCTTACGAAGTACCAGAAATGGCCACTTTGATCTATCTTTCCAACCGTTAAAAAATGATGCAAATTTAAAAGAAGAGAGAAGACGGTGAACAATAGAATGGTAAACAAGCAACTGTTTTCGACAATGAAAACTGAGACTACACCATTCCCATATTTACCTTGTCTAAATGGAATTGGTATCAAGGTGTCATGTTACTCTGTATGAGTAAAATGAAAATATATTACCGTGCGTGTTGGTAAACAATAATAATTAATTTATTCATTTCGCTCTAACGCATTATCTTCTAATATTACAACATTCTCGCCAAATAACTTTATAAAATATACAATGTTCTCTGTTGTTCATTTCATTTCTCGTTAAAACTTCTGTTTACAAATTCGATAAAACCTACAAGGGAGGGAAATTCATTGAAAATGGGAATTAAATAAAAATGGCCACGAAGAATGACAAATAACTAAATGATAAGATGGGGAAAGGTGTACACATCGGAAAAATTAAGGATTGCTCGTTCTATTTTTCTTGCGGTCGATATCAACATGGGCCGTACTTTTGCTTTTAAATGTCCACAGTACTGCGGTTTCATTTGAAAATGAACAATTTAGATGCATTTTCTTCTATCCTCTACCTTAGACAATCAGGAGATTTTCAAATTGATCAATCATGAGTTAAATAAAACTACGATCTGATCAAGGGGGAGATTGGATTGTTTCTTAAAACAGGAACTCCTCGCTAGTCAAAATCTTCCCAATCATCACCCCAGCCACTTTCCACCTGAAAGAAAAAAGAAAAGAGAATCTCATTCACACTATGTCACAAACAACTGTTATGATATTCTTACCACACCACAAGGGATCAAGGGAACTTTTCCTCTGATGACAAGATTGTCAAAGCGCTGGATCGAAGGCTAAGGAAGGGTGCTAAGACATGCGTACGACAAGTCATATTGTTTAAGATGCTTAGAGAGACAGAAACGTAAATATCCGCAATTACTTTGAGCTTTGTTTTCGATAGATTTGAAACAAGAATGTTCGTTAATGAATAGACCATGCAGGTATGCCCTATCAAAAGTCCAAGAAAATCACTTTTCTATGATACACCAGCTTGTTCACGTTGATAATAGAGTAGAAAAAAATTGAGAGTAAAACCCCCTTGACAGGCAGATCAAATTGATTTTTTCCCTTTTCTTTACACCGTGACCCAGCCCCTGCTGTTCGAAGGGTGACTAACGCTATCCTGTGCTAGATAGATCTCTACACAATAGAGAGCGCTGTCCGCCCTTTAAAGAACTGGACCCTCAGATTCACAGGTTTGCACAGGCCATCCAACCTCTAAGCCATACCTGTGACGTGTCTTCTACCATTGCCAATTTAGAACTCAGTTCTGCACCTTGGGATTTTCCAGGTTCACCATCTGAATTTTTCGCCTTAAAAGTCAATGACGGCTCCATATCAGCGAAGTAATCAGGCTCTCTTGAGCGAACTTCCATTCGCGTTATTTCAAATTCACTACCCGGTCTCTCTTCACTTTGCCGTCTTGTTTTCGAAGACTTGTTTGTTTTGATTGAAGATTTTTCAGAACCAAGCTTTAATGCGTTCGAACGTGTCGACGCACTAGGTTTCGATGGATAGCCCTCTTTATTGCGAGAGAAAGGGGAAGGTCCGTTCAATTTCCCCGCTGGCAGGAAGGTATTAACATCAACGTCATTCATTTCTAGTTTGTCCTGTTCGCTGCTAGTAACACTCTGATCGTCACTCCAGTAAGCAACACCTTGCTCGACAGTTGCTTGGCTTGAACGGCTGATCTGAGAACATAAGCGTGTCAAAAATCGAAATTAAAGAAAAAAAATTCTACGTTACCATCTTTGTGCGAGTTGTTACTTAGTACTGTGTTCATAAACATAAAACTGACCAGCACTTTCACAAGAACCGAGCGATGAATTTTACCTACATTCTTCGTCATGTTCACTTTCTTTTGTTCTAAGTACACTTCCGAGTTCGAATGACACAGTTGAATCTAACCTGAATATTTGTATTTTGAGGGATCAAACTTTCTTACCCTTATTTAACCTTACTACCCTGCAAGTCTTTTTTTAGTTATTCTTTTTTTAATAGCGTCGATTCGTAAAGCATGTTAAAAAACACAAATTCAGAGCTTTATCCAAAGACACAAAATGAAAGTAACTTCCTTTTATTGGCTAAGGCCTGGATAAATCTCCTTACCTTTGCGTCTGACCGCGAGGAGTTTGGGGACCCATCAAGTTCTTTCCATTGTTCAAACTCTTCCTGATCAGAGTCCCCTTGGGGGACAACTAAGTCTATTAGTCTCTTGGGAGACGATTGTTTCGCTATTCTTTCTTTCTCTCGTTCCAATCTGCGCCGTTCCATCTCTTTTTTTCTCTCCTCTTTTCTCTTCTCCATTTCTTGCCTTCGTTTTTCCCTTTCCTGTTTTCGAATTTTATCGTTAGTATTACGTGTGAATGTCTGCACGGTGCCGTCTGACTCTGGGCTCAACTTGTTCTCAAAGTCGATGACTCCACTGACATTCGCGGGACCAATGTTTCTGATCTTCTTTTCCTTAATGACATTATTTGTGGATACTGAAAAGCAAGTGAGTGGTTAGGGACCGGTTAGGCATCGGAAGGGGAGGGGGGGAGGGGTCGGAAGATTTTCGTTGTGTCACGATAAAATTTATCTGATCCCCCTTTAAGGCTTTGTAATATTCTTATGACTGAACCCCCCCTCTCCATTCCCCCTGAAAACCATGTGAGCTCTCCTAAATCCTCCAGACCCCCCCTTCCTTTCCATGCAAAAAAATAATGACGGGTCTCTGTGGACGCAAACCGACAAGGGTTGTAATCATGAAATATCAAGATGAGAAAACAAAGAAGAAAAAAAAGAGGTTAAAACTGAAATGGGCGTAGTTTATTTAGATAGGACACAACATGCTTTGATCGTGGGAACTTACTTGTTGGCATGCTCTCAGAACCATTGAACTGAAAAGAAAAAACAAAACACGAAACGTCAAAGACTGAGAACGAATACAGCAAATTTAAGCGATGTTAGCTGAAACGCCCTCCCACCCTACCCCCCCCCTCTCTCTTCCTTGGTGGACATCACAAAGAATTATACGGATTGCTAAAAGATACTGCAGTTCCTAAGCGAGCGCAGGCTCTCCCCGTTTCCATTTCAATTGGTTTATACCTTAGGTCTCCCTTCGATGAAGTGCTTTCTTCTTTCTCCACCAACAACCACATTCGCTCCTAATACAGGTACCATGACTGACAAGGCAGAAAATGTGGCCGCGACTATTCTGTCATCTGTTTCTCTCAGACCAATCAACATCTTCGAGAAAAGTTAAAAATAATCAAAACAGTTGTTCACCAATGGAAGCCAGACAAGAGGAAAGAAGAAACACGATTCAATCAACATTGTTAATTTTTCTTTTCAGCATAAGGAGGAAAGCTGGAGTACTTCGGTGTACAATGGAACACCGTCTTAGGGCGGTCCCACACTTAAACTGTTCCGATTTCCTCCCTTTCCGTTCATATACTTTTCCTTGTTAAGAAGTTAGGAGAATTTCGTGTTACCTCACGACACCACCCTCAAGCTGATAATCTAGTCTATCTTCATCACCTTTTTTCTGATTGATACATCGATATTGTAAGGAAGAGTAACATGTTTAAAAATAACTTGTTGTTAATTCAACCAACCTCGTACATCAATACAACCTCGATCTCGTGTCCAAAACGAATTGAAAAAGTCCGTCGAATTTCTTATTCAAAAGCTCATTAATAGGTAAATCCCGTTGTTATAATTAAATATCTATGTCTATAGCCTTGAGGTGCCCGTATTCACATAATGGTACCCAATTTGACTCATCATTCAAACCAATTGCAGCCTGTGTAGCTAAATCTTATTTTGGTGTGTTTGTGCTTTGAAATGTTACGCAGCGGGGCAGAGAAGACGATCGGCGATGCCGCGAAAGCTCCGCAATCCGCTGCTCGTTTCCACGGTTTCCCGTTCTGTACATTAATTAACAGCCCAATGAAAACGCCACACACACATGCTTACCCATCTAAAACCGTTTTATACGGCGGCACAATGTGAATCTGTTGGTTTCGTCTCATTGCTAGTTCGTCCCCTACCACTTTTGCGAATTCACTCCCGAATTAAAAAAAGTTTACCCCCACCCAAACCAGTTCGCCTCAAAACCACTTCGCCTCAAAACCTAGCAAAAATGGGATTGAACTTGCTTGGCCACAAGGGGCGAACCGGGAAAGGTAGGGGTGAACTTGTCTTACCGCAAATGGCGAACTCTTGATGGGGGGGGGGGAGACTTTCAATGGGGCGAAACCTCCATAAATCGAATCGATTGTGACAAACGCCCGTTTTTGACGTAAACGCAGTGAATCGGTACTTTGAGGACAAAAGAATACATCTTACTCGGGAAAAAAGCTTTTCTTAGTCAGCTCGAATGCTAAACAAATTTTCAATCAGGTGAAAGGAATAAAAAAAATGCACCGCGCAGACATTACGTGTTGGGAAGCTTTTCAGTTGATCTTGCTTACTAAGTTTTAGATTAAGACTCTGGCACAGTCTTTCCTTAGCCATTGACCTCTACTTAAGTAGAAGCATACCTGAGGTAGAATGAAATTTTCCAGAACTTCTTTCGTAAAAGAGGTGGCATAGAGACCAAAATACTTGAGAAGAATCATCCGGACGTGTCCGTCCCTGATGGACCATAGAGTCATTAAAATGGGGATGCAGTGTTCTCTGAAAGGAGACAACAAGGTAGAGCAATTTTCAGTCGAGTGTAGAAAGACATCTTGGATTGCGCTGGGTTTCCTTACCTTTGTTTCTGATTGGCTCAGGAAACTAGCGTCTTTCTCTCAACCAATCTTATTCAAGACTATAACCAATTACCACTTGATTCCTCGCGATTTCCCGCCGTTCAGGCGGGAAATCGTTACTGAGTCTGATTGGCTCCTTGTGATCTGGGTTCTGATTGGCTATTAGGATAACTTTGATTTTCGTTTTTCTACACTCAATCGAGAAGTGCTCTATTAGCAGAATGTCTCTGCTTGATAGAGATTATTGCACGCCAGGAAGACCTTTTACTTCTTCTCTAAAACACAATATGACTGCTTTGATGTTTTTATGAAAAATCGACAAAATTTGCCTACATATTATTTTCCTTAGGAAAACGTAAATTTTGAGGAAACTTCAAAGTCTTACAGACCTTTTGAAGTTACAATACATAAAATGGCTTGAAAATAAACAAGACAAATAAGAAATCAACTTGGAGGGTAACATATACATATAATTTAAATATGTTGTTTCATGTCCTTAGAAATGACTATAGTTAACGCAAGAAATTAAGAAGTGCATAAAAGCTTGATAGATTCTTAAGTTAGAGTAGAGTACTGAAAATTAAGAATCTCTCACTAAGTTAGAAAAACTAAGTTGGAAAAACCCGCGAGGTAAACCCAATATAAGCTAAAACCTGCTGTAGTTTAAACGTTTGGGCGGTCTGTGGTAGCCCCACAGGAAAGGGGAATCATTACCTGAACAGCTCATCTGGTAGCACTGGAGTGAGGTTGCTTGACTGGTAATCAGCATCGTTACCATCTGAAAGTAAATGGATTCTTTAACATTTAAAATTGTTTACCACAAATAAAACATTCCCGATATTAGAAGCCGGAGTTACGGAAATCCTCCAATACAAGCAACAGACATTAGCCAAATAAGGGCCTCCCTTGGATAAAAGCAATACATACAGTTTTAAGTAAATTCTTGCAGATTTTGTCTGTGATCTTTCCCTTGCAGAGTTTAGTTACCTTTAACTTGCAACATGTGCTCATCGAAAAACCTTGCTGTAAACGATGGTAATAGACCACTTTCATAAATGGCTGCAGGATTAATATTCTTTTGTTTAAATTAAAATTAGCCCTTCTGGCCTCGCTTGAGATAATGTATTCTTTTGAATTTTGTACTGGAGAACGAGGCCAGAAGGGCTAATTTAAATTTAAACAAAAGAATATTAATCCGGCAGCCATTTATGAAAGTGGTCTATAAACAACACTTTACCTTTGATAGGAGTCAGGAGATGAGGGAGGAAATTTTTCTCTGCACTAGGGTCCGCCAGAACAAATCTTGACATCAATCTTGGAAGCATTCGCCTGGCAACAAGTTTTGGTGGAATTGTTGTCAACTTGTAGGCTAGAGAACTGAATCGAACACATCCTCAGTTAAAAAAACCTATTCCTGTCAAAAACCTGACCACTTAAAGTTAGGAACGAGGCCAACTCTGTCAATCCTGTCGATCCCTGTCAATCCTGTTGATCCCTGTCAATCCTGTCGATCCCTGTCAATCCTGTTGATCCCTGTCAATCCTGTCAGTCCCTGTCAATCCTGTCAATCCCTGTCAATCCTGTCTTCTCCCTACACACCCCACTTCATGTCTGTGTACCACTCATTTCGGCCGCGCGCGTCATGTAACTAACCACTAAGGGTCGGTTATTTAAACAAAGTTCAGCTGTTGTTTAACAAAACCGCGTTTTAGGCTAATATCAATTTAGCCGAACCTTTTATCTGAACATTTATTTCTGTGAACAGTGTTAAAAAGGGCCGAAAGCTAATAGTGAAAGGATATTTATTTAATTAAATCAACCCTCAAAGAGAATACCCGAGGCCCCAAACGGCGGTTTGAGTTAGACCTCGTTTAAATAACAGGCCCAATGTGATTCGAGACTGATTAAGAAAAGTACCAAAGCTGGTAATACAAAACTTATCAGGTAGAAGTTGTTCCCTTGATTTAACACCGTATTCTTGTAATTAATTTACAAGGAAATGTGTAGCAGCTACAAGGGAGAATTGAGCATGGATACTCTTGAGGATAAAGGTCACTCTCAGGGTTTAGGCTTCAATTTGAACTCCTCTAACGTAGCTAAAAGTAACTTCCATACCTGAAGAATTTCTCTTTTTCCACATCAGTTTTAATGGTTATTTGGTTGAGAAATGTCATTATCTCCAAAAAGCCGCTCCTAGTGATTGTAAAAAAAAAGAGGCCCTCAAATTAAAATCTTACAAGTCATTTGCAGTGTGAAAAGATTTTGATATTGGAGGGATGTGCATCTCTCTTAGATGAGCAGCAGTTAGAGACAAGAACTACATAACATTCTACACAGTTTTTTAAAGATAGGAAATTTAAAAAATGGTGTGATTTGTAAATTTTTAGCTTAGTTTGTGGCATCAATGTTATAAAAAACTGTTATAAAGTCTTGTTACTTTCCCAGGGCATTGAGTAGGAATTCTTACAAACTGAGAGGGTTTTCAAATCCACAGCTATTTGAATGAATGTACCATTTTATGCTATTGCTATGAAGTTCTGCACCAAAACTTACAAAAACTTTGAAAAGCTTTAACAAACCTGAAGAATTCATCACTAAGAAGACTGGAAAACTGAGGCCTCATCTGGAACAAATATCAAGAAAATGTCTGAACATAAAAGCATGAACTGCAAAGGTGACCTACAGAAGCAGAGCACTACTCCGAGATAACCATGATTGAAAATACAAATGTAGTGATGAGTCAAGTCGTAGGAGCACAAGGCAAGTGACTACTGGTCAACGGTGAATTTCATGATAGAGGTTTTGCATGGCAGCCATGTTGCATAGCAGGAAAAATGAAAATATTTTTCATAAGAAAGAAAAATTTTTCCCATGAGAAAAATAATCCTGCCATGCAACATGGCTGCCATGCAAAACCTCTATAAACTATCAGTACTGATTATTTACCAAAAAGGCAATGAAAATGTCTGAAGCTCAAAAATAAAAAAGTTGTCCTGCCACCTTGACAATTAAATACACCTGTGACATTTATTGCTGTCGTTGGTGTCAAATGATTCAAGTGACCTACATGTAATTGATATTTTAGTTGTATCATTCACTGATGATTGTGATTACTGTGAAAAAAAAAAATTATACTACATACATTGGCTGTAAGAAAATTATGCCTGTCATGGCTGACTAAGAGAAACAACTTTGACAGTGCCTATTATTTACCTCTGTGTAGGGCCTGTAATAACAATTATTTATTACATGACTCGGGCAGTCAGAGGGCCAATAACTACAATCAACCAATCAAAATGCTCTATTGCCGGTCAATATTGTCTCAGTATTGGATCGGGCACTGTCCCGAATGGTCCCGAATGATACCGCACTTGTGTCCCTTTGAACTTTAGTCGTATAATAAATCTCTTATTAACCAAGCTTGCTCGGGACCGTACTGGAAGAATATCGGCCCTCGGTCTTTTTTGTACAGACCTCGCTGCACTCGGTCCGTACTGTCAAGGCCTCGGGTCTATATTCTCCCAATACGGCCCTTGGACTTGGTTAATAAGACATATATAAATGCTAGCTTTTCTTCAAATTCCTACCTGGTGATGATGAATTATTTGTTGAAACACAAAAAAAATTGCTATCATAATGGAAACCTGCTAAGTCAACAATAAAATATGCCTGGAGTATTTTTCTTAAAAATACCTGAGGATTTTCATGGAGGAATAAACTCTGCATCTTTTCTCCAAAATTTTCCCCTACATCTCCTAGAGCAAGTTAAATTAAGGAAATTTAAAACAATTACTAGAAAAAGCAGGGCATGTTGAATGAACAATCAATGGCAAACTTTCTGCACTTCAAAGCCTTAATTTGTTGGAGAAAAAATGTTTTGGGTTTCAAAACTTCCTTTAAAAAAGGGATTAAATTTTTCTTGAGGTAAAAAAAGTAGAATTAAAAAGATTCACATGGTATCACAGATAAACTGATTTGACAGCATCCCATGCTCAGAGATCAAAGTTACATGTATTGACTTATGGAATAAACCTCTTCATGTTTTTACACAACAACATTGCTAATTTACAGTATTTTCAATCAGAGGGAAATGTGTAATAGTTACCTAAATCTGTGCGAGTGTCCAAGATGTCACTTACAAACATACCAAAGCCATATGCATCGAGGGCATGACCAGTCTTTAAAGTGACATTTACAAGACCCTCCTGATAAAAGAGGCAGTAAATCAGTAAGTTTTTGAAGAGATACCTGTATGGTACATTTGGGGATATGGTGGTGATTACTGGGATAAGTGACATGGTTACTATAATTATATTAAAAACCTCAGAATGAGAGCTTAGGTGACAACAAAAAAAAGTAATTAGCAGCCATGGAAAGCTGTTGCAGCATTGCTGACCATGCTAGCTGATGAGCACAACATAAAAGCATGCTTCACATGAGACTGAAACAGCTATCGATGGCTGCATGCAAACTCAATAATATAATAATAACAATAGTTGTAACAAAAATAGTTATGTACTAATAATCATAACAACAGAAATGTATTCTTAGCTTCTAACTCTTGCCAGTGCACAGCCATAGTTTTAAGAAACAGAACCCTGATAATTATAACAAAATACAAGTTATTCATGACAGGAATAACCTTTTCTTCAGGAGAAATAGACTTGGTATCCCTTTGTGCTCTTGTACCTGACAAAAACTTGAAAAAGAAGACACAACCATCACATCAATTTAGGCATACAATTTTGCACAATATCTTTAAGACTTACAAACATGTTCCCTGTACCGTTTATTAATTTTGAAGAGAACGTCAATAAAATGAATGATTAACAAACCAATTAGACCAAAGGGGTACAAAAATAAATAAATTAGTTACTGTAGTACTTAACTTATAAAGATACGATCATAGTAATCTAAATTTCATAGTTTTTATCATATAAATTTATCCTTAGACTAGCTGTTCACAGTTAAAGGTGAATTATCAGGGAAGTGTGATGAAATACTGTGGAGTAACCTTGTGTAGACTGGCATCCCATTCAGGGGGGAGTAGTTCCACTATCTCATAGTTGTTTCATGTTAACCCTTTACACATTAACATCAGTATGCATATTCTCCATACATATATATACAGTTACTACAAAAATGCTGACGCCCGATCTCAACCTTAACAACAACATGTAAAGCACTATTGATCAGCACATGCAAATATGCGCTATATAAACTGGAAGCAAGTAAGCAAGCTATTCTCTATGCATTTCCTAAGATGCTGACAAGGAGAATTTATTGAACAATCAAGAGCTTCTTCAGTTAGCAATCATTTCCTTTATTCTTGTGTCCTGTTTGATTTAGGGACGATATTGTGAGGAGAAATTAGATGCTGGTCACTCTTGAAGGTTAAAGGATTAAGGAACCAGGATGAGTCAATCAGCTCAAGTAAGTAACTGTATTGACAAATATTTATACAGGGTAGCCTAGTTTAGCAGATAGCTA